TCTAGCTGGGAGGGCAGAGTTGACTGGGCGAGAGGGTAGTCCGCCATCTTGACGGTTAGTGTTAGCCCTGCATTTTGTGGCTGAGTGGGAACCTGAACAGACATAGCATCTGTGGTCATAACCACAGTTCCCAGAGCAGGTCCCTCCTGAATGAAACTTGAAGCATACCCCTGCTGGGAAATACTTACGAAAGGGCTGCCTGTGCTTTGAGTATTTATTTAAGGCTCTGGGGCGGTGTTGAGGGCTAAATTGGGGGCAGGAGTTGAGAAGTGCCCTATTCCACAAGTCCCAATTAACATCTTGCCAGGGGTCACCTGACCTCTCCTTGTTACTTCTGAATGTGCGGTCGTACGCCAGCCAGTCCCCCCTAAGACCCGCCAAAACTTTAATGCCCTCTGCATATTTCAACAAATTAGGAAACTCGTGAGGATACTTCAATGTGTAAACAGACATAAAAGTATGGAAAGCGGTGGACCACACACTGAGGGAAGAGATCTGAGGTTTTTAACCTTGAGAAACTACCAGAGTTAACTGGCCATTATGTGTCTCCATGGCTAAGGGGAGGGGATTGCCGGGTTGGGGCAACAAAGTCAATTGGTCTTGTAAAAGAAGCACCAACTCAATAAACTGATTCCCCCAAATCTTATCTTTAAGTTTAGTGTCTACCTGGGCGTGCAAAGGGATAGATTTAGTCTGGTGTCTAGAAGTTGAGGGAAGTGGGGACACTGGGGCTAAACATTTTTCAGTCTTCTTTGGCCCTTTTTAAAATTTCCCACCTTTAATAATTATGTAGAGGATGTATTACGGACATTTCGCTGTGTACAGATTTCTCTTTCAGAACTTATCATGGAGCTTATCAAGGAGCTTAATACAGTGAATTCCAGATGCCAATACCTTGTTTACGCTCCTAACCTGGTAATACCAGATGCCGTTTCCCCCCGCTAATGAAAGTTCGCAACGGCCCATGAAATCAATTAAGTTAACCGTTGCCATAAAACATCGTTTGTCTACGCCAAACTTCCCTATATTCACCTGTTGGACTACAATCTACATGTATTTCATTAAGGACAATTATTGTTTTTGTGAATGTTTTCACTTTTCTGAAAAAAAAAATATATATATATATATATATATATATATATATATATATTCATAGGTCTAAGCAGATGTGTGGTAATTCCAGTTTGGAATAAAAGTAATAAAAGTATATGCAATCGAAATGAGTAATACATTATTCATATTTTCTTACCTGACTTACACAGCTCTTCATTTTCATATGGATTGTGCTGTCTGCCCCTCCTTCTTTGCTGTAGTTGTTGTCGTGATAGGCCTAGGACTGGTGCATATTGCTGCTGCTGATCACCCTACAAAAAGTTGGCAGGTTCATTCATGAGAAAAAGGCTGCAAGCTTTAACATATACCATATACCTCAGCTACACTAGCCCACTTTACAAATAGCCCATCTTGCCTTAATCAGGCTATACATGTAAGGCCTATCACAAATCAAGTATAATAGCCTAGGCCTAGTTAGTCAATAAGCACATGTACCAGTACATGTACATGTAGCTAGGCTAGGTAGGCATTGGCCTATTATATGGCTATTTGCCCTTGTTTCATGGCTTTATTGGCCTAGCATAGTAGGCCTAAAAGTTAGTTAATTAGGCCTTTAGCTAGGCAATAGTCGATTTGATTCCTTTTTTGGAATATAGGCTACATAGTACTGGGTAATGATGGGCAATGGCTTTAAACTGACAACATAATTGTTCTTTAAATAAAAAAGTTTTTAAGTCAGCAGACATGATTGATTGATAGAAATTGGCTTACCCTCGAGTTCGAATCTGACTCTATCTTCAAGTTTGACTTTGATTCTGCTCTACTCGGTGCGAACTTCCAAAAAGTGCTTGCACTGTCACTTGACCGACTGGAACTGGATGTGGATATGTCAGTAGCAAAGTTAGTTTTAGTAGGAGTAGTCCTGTTGTCACTACTGGCTACACGCTGCCAGAGTTCATTGGCCCTTGACAGCAGCCTCCCAGTCACGTTTTTAATGTCAGCGTCATACATGTCGCTGGACTTAATCATACATGCTGCCAAAGTGTCAAGGTCGGATTACTGTAAAGTGTTCCGGTAAAAGTAGGTTACAATTTATGACATAAACCCTAAGACCGACTGCAGTAACATCTTTGTGTTATTTTGCAATGACGTCATCACTTAACGCGCCGTCCACGGATAATAAAGGGGCCCGCACACGGTGAGCATTTGGCGCGCGCCACTTGCGCTGCGATGTTTTCTCATCGTGTGCGGGGGTATTTTGGTGAGATTTTTGCCTCTCGCGCGGCTGAGCAAAATTTCTCACGTGTTTGATTTTTTTGGTCTCTTGAGGCAAATGTCTCAGCGTGTGCGGGGTGCAAGCACCGATTGCTCACGCCATGCCAACAGTGCGCATGTGCTGGTAGCTGGAAACAGACAAAAATGGCAGCCCCCAATGAGGTCGTGTCTGAGGCCATATTGGAAGACAAGTTTGTTGATATATGGCAAGAACATCCATGCTTGTATGACATAAGATCTTCAGACTTTAAAGATAAAGATAAACGTGACCTTGCCATTGAAAAGATAGCAAATCAACTGGAACAAACCGGTGAGGAAATTGCTAGGCTTCAGCATGTCTGTTGTCTTTTTCAAGTTCTTGTTGTTTGAATAAAAATTAAAATTCAATCACGCTCTCGTTCAATGCATTAGGCATAGCCTCAGCGTGCATGTAAAACAATGAATGATTTTCAAGCATTTTAATGTCAAACTGTTTAAATTTTAAAAAGATAGGCCTATAAAAAATATAAACTATTTAAAAAAGAGGATTTTCCTGAACTGACACCTTTTTAGGCCTACCTGCCCCTCTAAATTTTTTTTTTTTTTTTTTGCTAAATGTTATACTATTTACAATTTCAGCTTCTTTGGTGAAAGCCAAAATCAGATCCCTTCGTAACAGCTACACAAAGGCAAAGAAGCCAAAGCCTAGTGAAGAAGCCAAAAAGACAAGATGGATTTCTTGAACAGTACATTTCAATTAGGCCATCAATATCTTATCTGGACAATGTAAGTAGATTCTTCCTTATGTATAATAATATAAACACAATTATATAATATTGTAGCGTGCTCTCCCTAGTGTCTCTCCCTATAAAAATACAAGTCCGGCTCTCTGTATTTATGGGCACGGTGACTTAACTCGGCCCTCAGAAAAAGCTGGATCACCACTGTCTGTGCTCGGCTGTATCTACTGCATACCTGGCTGTCTCAGCTAGGAACCCGGCTGGCTGGCAGGTCGTCTCGGATAGGAACCTGGCAGGACAGTAGTCTCAGCTGGCTGAGATCCCCGGCAGGAAGATTGTCTCTGCTGGAAACCCATCTCAGCTGTAATCCCCGGCAGGAAGGTCTTCTCGGCTGGAGGCCTGGCTCAGCTGGAATCCCCGGCAGGAAGGTCTTCTCGGCTGGAGGCCTGGCTCAGCTGGAATCCCCGGCAGGAAGGTCTTCTCGGCTGGAGGCTCGGCTCAGCTGGAATTCCCGACGAAAAAGTCCTCTCGGCTGGCGGGTCGTCTCAGCTGAAAGTAAAATCTGAATAAAATCCAGGCTGAAAGTAGCACACCTCGGTTAGCCTCATCGGCGTACTACCGTGCAGGTCGAGAGAATCCTCTAGTAACTACAGAGCTTCGCCACTGAGAGGTGTGGTGAGCCTGATACTGGAAGTATCTGACTGCCGCATGCTACTGTTACACTCCTTTTATATGGGCGTGTGCCATATTTGATTGTGAGTAAAATTAAGGCATTCTTCAGTTCGTCAACTAATAAAATTCAGCCGCCCAAATAATGGTGTCCTTAATGGCAATTATAAGTACAACAGATCTCAAAGTCCATTTCAATTAATTAAAATAACCGTAAATTGGCCTCCAATTACAGTTAATGAATCATTTTAATTACATTACATAACTTCCTGTTATCAAGTGATATCAGCAGCGAGTTGTTTCCCATTTTATGGAATCTCAGGGCTACAAGTTCATCATCGTTACAATATGCCTGCACTATTTGCTGTTTCACAATCAGGGGTACCAAGTACAGTAAGGGTCATATTGAGTAAAAAAAAAGGGACTCTGATGCATTATTTTTATTCTGTAACTGATGAGAAGATTAACATCTTTAACTATAAATCCCCAAATTTCTAGCACACTGTTGTGAACCGTATAAAATAACTTTAACTTTAATTTATAACTGTACTGAATTTCAGTGTATCAATTTCCATTAACGAATAAACTAATCTATGGGCTCCGTCATGACTCCAAATTCGACTCAGTCTTCCACTTTACGTGCACAGAGAAGCATAACAGAACACCTCACATCTTCAGTCTCAGATCAAAAAGTGTCTTTATTATGGACAAGCTTCAAGTTATACACAGATTATCTACAGGGAATCTATGTGTACATGTGGCTGCTACTTATTTACGTACTATTTGTTGTGCAATATTAACAGGTGATATGTATCTGTCCCAGGCATAGGCCTACCTATGGGCCTCTACAGAAAATAATATTTATGTATACAGGTTAGCCGCAAATTAGGTAATAACATGTTGATTAACAATGTCTACACAATGTGGAATTTATGCAGGATTCCACACACGATATCAATTACTTTATTTGCTACATTCAAATCAACAGAAAGCCCCTTTCAGCTATGCCTTGAGGGTACGAACACTACACATTAAAGCAACTGATGCTTTTCTAACATATTGTGTACCAGTTATTTGTGCCAACATTGTCAAATAGTCATTCAATATACATAATAGATGTCATACATATACTTTTATCATATTCTTATGCCCATTTTCATATATGTACAAGACCAAAAATATATACAGCATTGTAAGTTATCAAAAGTTACATTGCCAACTTACCTCGTACCTTTCTAGCAACCTTGGAACTTTATTATTTAAATATAAAAATTCAACATCAAAAACTGCAACTTTGTAACTTTCAACTATTATATAAAAGTTCAACATCTCAATATTAAATTTTTTACTGTTTTGGACACATCCTATACAAACATCAAATTTCTATTATAGGCATTTAAAAGGCATTCTTTTGCAAATTATTTGTCAACCTTGTCAAAAACCAATGTAATTCACATACTTTCATCACAGTCTTATGCCTGTTCATATACATCTTAATTTTACACATGCTAAATGATACTTAGATATTTATGTATTCCCATTGATACATCAGTCCTTCAAACTAATATATTTAAAACTACTATTAATTTTTAATAACCAAGGCAACAGCATTTTTCCATTCTAGATGGTATTCCAACTTCTGTACAACAGATGTTTTTTTTTTTCTTCATTCAAAAGCACAGAATTCATTCTTCTGACCCATTGTTTATTATAGGAGTATGGACAGTATATACAAACATGTCTCACATTTTTTTAAAAAAAGCTTGAATATCAAAACAAAGATATAACAATAGTCCTTAACCAATAGGATACAAGTATATGTATAAATCAGAAAGTTTTTTTGGAGAAACACCACATTCAAAACAAACAATGTGTGAATCAGAAAGTTTTTTGGAGAAACACCACATTCAAAACAAACATACTTTAGGGTCAAATTCAAAAATTTAACTCACTGAACATGAAGTTGCAAATTACAAAATAACATTCTCCTTGTGATGCTTGTTTAGAATAATTGGTTTCAACCTTTATTCACTCAAGTCCCAATAATTTTTCTTGCCATGGAACAGCGCCATATTCAGATGAAAAGTATGATGTTAATAGTTCTCTCTGTCTTTTTGCATCATTTGTTGCATTACGACCCTGTGCAGGTTGTATTCCAATCAACTGTTTATCATATCTCCATACTCCCACTGCAATTTCGTGACTTTCACCAGTTTCAACATCAAGAACATTTAGGTATGTGTGCTTGTTCTTGTCGACCATATAGTTGTGTAAACAACAGGCAGCTAGAATTAGGTTGGTGACCTTGTCAGGATTCAAATTTATTGGAGTTAGGAATACTCTGAACCTGTTTCCCAGGATCCCAAATAAATTCTCAACAACACGTCTTACCCTTGAGAGATGGTAGTTGAAAATTCTCTTCTTCTTGTCCAAATTTCTATGTGGGTAGGGCTTCATCATGGTCATTTGTAGAGAAAATGCATCATCTCCTACTAAATGATAGGAAATGTTCGATTCTGCAATCCCTTCCAGTGGCACAGGGGGTGGCAGGTTGATTGAATTGTCCAGCAAAGCCCTGTTAATTGTCGACTCATTGAATACTCCAGCATCACCAGCTCTACCTGGTGCACCAACATCCACATAAATGAACTTATAATTAGCATCAACTACATCTAAAAGTATCACACTGAAGAAGTGCTTGTAATTAAAGTACTCGGAGCCACTGTCATCTGGTTGTTTAATGGCAATGTGCTTTCCATCCACTGCTCCTACACAGCATGGGTAATTCCATCTCTGGTAGAACTCATTGGCTATCTTTCTCCAATCCTCAGGTGATGTTGGCGTCTAGAAAAAAAAATGAGTACATTCATTTAATTTTTAATACTTGACTCTATTTTTTCAGGCATCTCAGGAATCAAATGAAGATGATGGCACAGAACTTGATGATGAATCAATTTTAGATGTGGATGTAGCAGATGGAGATGATGACAACGATTCTGACCAACAAGAGGGTGGCATAAAAAAGCAAGTGAAGTCAACAAAGCAGCAAATAAAGGCACCTAATAATAGGGCACGAAAACGGCAGGCTGATGAAGAATATCAGCTCATCAAAGGCCTGGCTCAGTCACTTTCAGAGAGAGCCGCTAAGAAAAAGGAAACCAGTGATAAAAAGAGTCCCACTGAAAGTTTTGAAGAGTATGTCATACAGAGTTTGGCCGAGCTGGATGCACAAACTCGCCATTTGGCTCAACATAGAATAAATTTGATCCTCTTTCAAGCACAGTCAGGCACACTGTCCTATAGTCAGTTTTAATGTTCCCCAAAGTCAGATGTTGTCACAGGTCCCAGAACCATATCAACAGCAGGGATACCAATACACAAATATATGGCATTCCCAAGTGCATAATAGTTCTCATACATCAAGTGCAAGTGCTGGGACACCAAGTATCAGAAGCAGCACCCCTACATCTCAAGTGGACTCATTCTTTCAGTTATAAGTATCTCAAGGACACTTTTTAGCAGTCACCTGCATCATTCATCCCAATGCACTTTCATTTATTACACAATAAGTGAAAAAAATTGACGTTTTGTTTTTAAACTTGCAGAACTGATGAATATTCATAAGACACAGGTCAAATTAAAAAAATTGGCTTGATCTGACCATTTTCCTATAAGTTATGCTGTTTTTTCTCTCTTTTTTTTTTTTTAGCATATATGCAGTACTGATAACATATTTAAAGAAAAACCAATCGTCTATTGTCTTCAAATTTACAGGAGTGATCAATATTCATAAAATAAAGGTTGAGTTCGAAAATCAACATGTTTGGACAATTTTCTAAAAGTTTTACTGTTTCTTGTAAAATGTTGATATTTCAAATATTGGCAATTTTAAGGTGTGACTGTGAATAGATGAAGACCTGAAGGCCTTTCATAACCACTTTTTGGGCTTTAATAATACATTACTAGTATGCTTAACAACAAATTCTGCAATGTTACACAGATATTCAGAAACAAATACAAGCTGAACTTCTTTGTGCATTATTATTTTTTTTTTTTTATTGAAGCTATGCTGTATTTTTCCCTTTAATGACCTTGAATACGGAATATAAAGTTAAGCTTGTATTTGTTTAATGATGATTAATGAACAAGATTCTTACAACACAGATGTACAACTATAGTTTAAGAATATGAATGACTGGTGGATTTCCTCATTTCACATATATAAATAATAGCCACTAAAAGGAAATCTGTGAAAAATTATGCAGTATTTTAGCGGGCCCTGTTTACATGTATTTAAACTGTTTAGCAATGTAATTTGTATCAGTGCCAGTTATCAATGTCAGTTGCAGGTAAGATAATGTCATCAAACACTGTAAATAGGGGTTTTAGTAACATTTACGAGGTCTCTGTACCTAAACGTACAATAAATAAGTATGACATAGTGTTAAGTAATTTTCATTCACGCATTGTAAGAAATTCGTGTAAGAATGTGGTTTACACATTGTAAGAAATACATGTAAGAATGTGGTTTACATTATGCTGTTTTCTTCCCTGCATATATATTATATTATGAAGTAGACCATGTTACCTGTTGTGCAAAGTTATTTTTTATTCTGTTTGTTAATATTTGGTACTGATTTTGCTGTTAAGTCTACTTGTCAAGTATTATTGCATCAAATTTTAATCTAAGTCAGTTGTTGTTTAGTGTTCCATGTTTTCTTAGATGTTAAAGCATTGATATCTAATTAAAGAAATTGTAATAAAAACTACCTTCAGTGTTTCATCTTTTAGTGAAATGAACAGTGCCTGACAAGTCCCATCAACAATATTGGAAACTGTTCGATCTCCAACTCTATACTGCATCGCCAGACTCTGAAAGGATTCTCCTGAAACAGAAGTCAAGAAATACACAGTGCAGGCCCAATAGCCTTGTATAATTGTGATAAGAGAAACTAAACTAGTTTAAGTGAAGAATTGCAGTTATTTAGCCTTAATTAGGCTATAATAATTTGATTAAATTAAAAAAAACTGGTTAATATAGAAACCCAACCACTGTCTACAACAAAATGTGAAATGAGCCTATCGTTATATTTTAATTTTTAGCTATCAATAGGGGCCTAGTATAAAATTCATGGTAATAAATACGCCCCTGCCTAATTAGTTGTCAAAAGAAGTCTTAAAAAAAGAGTATGATATAATATAATATAATTTTGCCAGGCTACAGTATAGTAGGCCACCTACTTACCTGTTGCAAGAAAACGCAGTGTGAGGGAAAGTCTTTCGCTGGCGGAGATTGAAGACCGCATGACTGTGTTCTCTTTTGTTATGTAGGGCTCAACATGAGTCTTGAAAGGATTCCCTATCTAATCGATGAAATAAGCGAAACTGCTCATGGTCCTCCATGTCCAGCTGTCTCACTAGATTGTTAAAGGCTCCTTGCCTCTTTCTCCTCAATATCCATGGCCTGCACCATGTTTGGCGCCTTGCTGCCCTCCGTCGTCTGCGTCGGCGCAACAACAACAAAAGAAGTAGCACCTCATCTTCCACTTCAGAATCAGACTCGGCGTCAGCCATTTTGACTAATCACATGATCCCACAGTTTACGGTACGTCCGATAGGGGCGGGTCGGGAGGCACCTTTGCTGAGCAAAGAGCGCAGCGTTTGCGGGGAGCTGAGGAGCATGAGCATTTTGCACAGCGCAAGTGGCGCGCGCCAAATGCTCACCGTGTGCGGGCCCCTTAAGATCATGCCGGGTGGAAAATTTCCGGAAAAAAAATACTTGTGCTGGCACTATTATTCGGAGATAAAAACCTGCTCAGAATGGAGTTCATAATTGAATTTTCAATCCTTACCTTGTCCTTTGAATTAGAAAAGAAACTTCCTATCTGTATAATTGTCTTTTTTTCATTTTTGACGTGGTCATGCCGCAGTCCTATAGATGAAAACTTCAGAAAAAGGCCACCATCAAAACGGGAAACAACAACTTGTCCCGTGCATGCGCACAGCCGTTATTTCCGAACTGAGCCAAACATGGCCATTTTTTGTTTACCCAGGGAACGATTTTTTTCTAATAATAATAATAATAATATTTATTTCTTATATAGCGCATTCCATTTTTTACATTTCAGTGCACTTTACAAATAATTTAAAAAGTCTAAAAATAACAATACTAAAATACTTTAACATTTACTGATAAAATTAATTAAAGAAAGCAGAGAAAATTTATTGATATAACTTTAAAATACTACTAAAATTAACCCAAGCTCACTCTTAATAAATGATAAACAACAAAGGTTTAAAGGAACACTAACCATAAAATTCTTTAAATTCTTTAATGAGTTTTAAGACAGGCTTTAAAAGTATTATAGTCACTTTCAGCTCTGATACTAAAAGGCAATTTGTTCCACAATTTTGGAGCATAAACAGTAAAAGCCCGGTCTCCATAGAATTTGTTGCATTTTCTGTCTATTTCACAGTGATTTGAGTATAAAATTGTTTTCAAAAGAGTTTCTTGTTAACCTGCGTGGTTCAGATGACGTTCAGATGCGTTTTAAACATGATTTCATGTATTATATATCGTGAGTAAATAATGTATTGAAAATACACAGCTTCATTGTGGGCCGTGATTTGAAAAACTGACCTTGTTTCATGAAAAATGGTCGTGCAAAACACGGCCACACAGCTGGCTGGCTAATTCTATGCTTCGCTGTCTTTGCTTGCCTCAGTGCCCAACCAACAGGGACACTTTCTAAGCTTAAACTACCTGACACAGCACCTGTCACTCCTACAACTCTAGCCACTCTTACTTCCCCCCACTTTTCTGCCCATCTGACCTTAATTCTGTCACAAACAGTTTCCGTTCTAATTTCCATGGAGTGCTGGCCAAAAGCAGTGTGGTTGAGTTCCATGTCGCAGTTGAAGGTTTTTATGCAGCTGTCTTCAGGACATTGGAATTCCACATCATGGCTAGATCTCCAACCAGTTACCCCTGATCTAACTAAAGGAGTTGTGTATTCAGTAAGAATGTGGCAGTTGGTAGCCCCCTGTGCTCTGCCAAATTTGTCAAGGGCTCCCTTTTTGAAAGTAACCCCCTCCTCTACACTGTATGCTTTCCAACACTGAATGTGCCCTTCTTCAGAATAAGTAAAGTTGCCGAAAGTGGTGATTCCAGGCCAAGTGACCCTTTGAGTAGACTGTGCATCTTTATTGATTTCTTCAACAGCTGCATAGCAGCCCCTTACCCTCCCCCCCCCCCCACCCCCCACCCCCCCAGCTGATGACAGAGCCATGTGCATGTCGCTGGCTGTAATGACATCGTGTCCTTCGTTAGCATAATGTCTAATAAGGCTCTTAAGGGGAGCAATTTTCCTGTCACATATAAGCTCTTTCCTGCCTTTGCCATGCTAAAGTCATATTGCCGAACAATTGCTGAATTCGTTCAGATAAATCTGGCATGAACATAGTAATACAACATGTAGGTCCACAGTGGTAGCACCTGGCATCAGAACGAATGAATTTTCTTGAAGACCATCTACTTTGGTTTTCAACTGGCATACAGATTCCTCGAGCAGGAATAAAACTGCAAACCAGTTATGACAGGCCTTCTCTACCATGTGTACAAAGCAGTGAATCTGAAGACAAAGACAAAAAAAATATTTTGCAAATATCAACATTGCTTATAAAATCAATTTCTGGAACTATGGAATTTACCCAGATGAGAGGTTTTCTTATCATTATGGTTTTATGTAGGGATGATAAAATTCACGTCTTTCAAAAGGTAATAATTATGACAACCCTTGATACGATTGAACAAATTGTTTCTAAAGAAAATTCACTGTATCATATGAAATATATAATATATACATGTATATAAGATTTCAAAGATTTTTAAATTACATTTCAGGTGGTAGGCCTTGGCATTAACGGCATTGTATAAAGTACCCATGTGCGTAATTTTCAGACACACAAAAATGCCAATGTTCTATAGAATAAAAAGGATGAATGATCGGTCGAATATATTTGAACTGAAAGCTGAAGTAACTACGTACTTTACCTGCTTCTTGCAAGTTGTCCCTTTTTGTGCGACCATATAGAGTGTTGCCCCAGAGAATTTGTATGCAGTGGTAAACTTCTGAGGTAGCTAATCATGTTCTTTCAGAGCATTCGGTGCAGCACTCACAGCATCTCTTTGTGCATTAGTCAGTGTCAGCTGAGAGCCTCGACTTTTTCAAAGCTTTGTACTGAATTTGCACTTCATACGTCCTATAGTAAACAGTTTAAAATTAAGATACAGGCATTGGCTATAAGAGTAATGTTAAATAATGTATGAAGGCTTTTTTTTTTTTTTGGAGGGGGGGGTTAATAATAATAATTTATTAAGCTTTAAGTGTTACAATTTAACAATGTTTGTTGTCTAAGCTACTTCTAATACTATATTATGCTTACATCAAAAATATAAATAATAGATAAAGATAAGATAAAGGATCAAATATCTATCAAAGCTAAAAGTTAATGCGATGGGTACTTATTCATTGTGCTGCTAACTGAATATATTGCGATATTACCTTAAGTGATTTATGATCTTGAAGGTTTAGGAGGATAAATAGTTTCTGATCACTGCCTGCTAATTCAAAATTCGGTCTCTCAGTAATTGGGAGGGAATTTAGCATGCTTTGTTGTTCTGTTTGGTACTTGATGCAAGTGAGGGAGAAATGTTTCTCGTCCTCTATTTCTGTTTTACAATGTGTGCAGGTTCTTTCTTCCAGAGGGATTTTGATGTGCCTGCTCTTCTCTATCACCAACTCATGGTCACTTATTTTCATTTCCGCAATGTATTTTTGTCTGAGCTTGTAGCACTAATTATTAAGTATTTTTTGAGATCATATGAGTTTTTTAGTATTTTATAAGTGCGCAGTTTATTTTAGTTTTCTTTGCTCAAATCTTCCCAAAAGAGACCTTCAGTTTTTAGGTAATTTCTTTTTCTAGGTCATATGTTTCATCCCAATGTTGAATTCCCCATTTCTGTCTAAATGTTGCCACCGCTTTAGTCCAATTATCTATTTTCAGGAGTTTCTCTTCGTTAAATGTTTGTTTCAATATTCTTGTATTGAAAAAATTTTCAGGTATGATGTAGTATTTTTGCACGGATTTAATTATATCTGTAAGGATTGGGTATCTACCCAGTTCTGCTCTGCAGGCATTGTTACTGGAATTTTTTTGCACTCCTAATAACCATTTGCAAATCTTTAAGTGAATTTGCTCAAACAGCATGTTGTTGATTTAATTAAGGTTCAGTGATTTTTGTTTTACAATTTCCTGAGCCTACACCTCACCACCATATAGTAAAATTGGTTTAACAGTTCTATCAAACAATTTTATTTTTAATACTGGAGTAGATCTGTTTTGAGAGGATAAAGTTCTTTTTAGTGCAAACATGGCCTTCATTGCTTTTGTTTTAGGTTGTGCATTAATATTGCTGTCTTAAGGTTACCTTTATTGGTGAAGGTGATGCCCAGATAAGAATATTCCTTAACGTTTTCCAGGATGTTTTATTGTAAATTTTATGTGCAGGTCTGTTTTTCCAGCTTTATTGAATATTATTATTTTGCACTTTTTCTCATTTACATGGAGTTGCCAATTTTTGCATTATTTTTCAAGGTGTGACAATGAATTTTGCAAGACATCACTTGTGTTTGAGAACAATACCAGGTCATGCTGGGTTTCAACTAGATTTTGCACATAAGGGTCATTTTGACCCCCACTTTTTAAAAATAGGGGTCATTTTCAAAATTTAGGGGTCAAGAATTTATGTTTGAAATAACATTGAAATAAATGTTAGAAGCAATAAAAACAACAAAAGTCATAAGTGTTATTTTTATCAGTTTATTTTTTACTTCCTTCTGTTTTTGTCAGCTTTAAATTTTGCAAGGGCAGCACCAAAATTAAACTCTTCCAGTTTTGGCCCCTCTCATTAACCTCTCCATCTGCTCCTCGATTTTGTGTGGATTCTGTTCATACAACTAAACCACCAGACGATCCCTATTAATGACAGACCTTATCATGTGAAAAGTGTAGGTGACCAGGGTCATTTAAAGAATGTCACGAATGGAACTTTCTGACCTTTACTGACATTTACAAAAAACAAGTAGATAATGTTATACTGAGGACTAAATAAATGTGCGTCCATTTGACAATTTAAATTGGGGGTCAGTTTTGATAAAACAGTGTCAGGGATGCACAAAAATTGCTCTAACGGGAACCCTGATCTGCATACAGGATGTGGGACAGTCTTTCATCGCCCTTTAGGTTCATAGCAGTTTTTACATCATCAATGAAATTGTCTAAAGGGCTTAAAAAATTTCCAAAACTAGTTTCTATCTCCTCGGCAGCAGTTTTGCAAGTCAAAACAATATGTGGTGGAAGAATGGTGGTAATGCTTTCAGGGCCTGCGTCCTGTGAATCACTGTCATATCCATCATCATCATCCAGCTCTTTAATTTCAATTGTTCTCTGTGCTCTCGGGTTGAACAGGTACTCCAGTCCTAACAATTCATCACTGCTTACTGCAGGCAAGCTGTTAATAAAGAAAATGAAATATCTGGAAAATCTGTTCCATTTCAGAAAAAAATTCTGAGCATGACAGCTTTATTGGAGACCTTCTTCATTTGTCTAGAAGTGTGTCTAAATTATCCGCCACTGACACTGCTTATATACTGCTGTGTCACACAAATAACAGAACAAGTACCATGTGTGAGGCAAAAAAAATTAAGTCAATACACAATGGGAGTGCAACAGATTGACTTACCTGTTCATATCTCTAGCTTTTCTGTAGAGTTTTTACCCTCTTCATTTTGTCAGCGCACTCCTGGCCACTTCTTTCAATCTCATTATCACTCAGTTATTTGTCATAAATTCTCCTGTATACATGAATGTGCCATTGCTTGCCTTCTTCCAGCTGATGCTGTACGTCGGCCTCCCACCTCCCAATGTGCAATAAGGTGATGGTTTCCTGGCAAGTTCAGTTATCAGACCGTTTATAAGGCAAGTTTATAGTTAGACTGTTGAAAAGATGATGGACTTTTGATGTTGTCTTCTCAGGTGCGTTCAGGTGTGAAGTCCAGAATCGACTGATTCAAGACCAGTGGATATTCGCACTTAATTTTTATCGTAATAATCTCTGTAATCGCTGTAATTCTCATATATGATGAGTAAAAAAAATGTAATTATTTATAATTAAAACTGACTTTCATAAACTTAAGTGGAAGTAAAATTCACTACTAAGACTCACTGCTTTGGTTTTCCCAGAGGTCTGTTTCTTCCATGGCATCTCTTCTATACAGGCTTTATGGGTCTTTCCAGAAACCCCAGTGGTGCCTGAAATGAAATGAAATAAGTGGGGCTAGCTTTGGATTAGTGAATTTAGGGTTATATATGTTTGTTTCTGCTTATAATTTTACCTCTGCCTTTAATGTAACAAATAAACTTCTTTAATGCTTATGCTAATACCTTCAAAAACTAGATTGAAATGGTCTCCATATGGATTTTTATATACAGACACTGTAGGTGTCTTGTATATATTCTGATTGTTCTGTCTATCCATGCCATCGCCATTGCAAAACAAAAAGCTATTACGGTAAAAAAAAATAATAATAATAAAAAAATAAAAAAAAATAAAAACATTTGTAAAAGCACTCTTAATAGCTGTTTGGAATGTTTCCATTTACCATAAAATAAACTAGTATAAATTGTCCCAAAATAATGATAAGGTAAAATTAAAAACTGAATGAAAATGTAGTATACATAGCAACAGTTATGGCCAATAATTTGTATGACAATGAAATTAAATCACCTAAAAGGACTTCATATGATTTTGTATGTGATATAGACCTTGTATAGAATAAAAATGTGTAAGAAACAATAGATAATTAATCAGATGTGCTGTCAGAAACACTTTCTGCCTCGCTAATACTGCTACCACTTGATATTGGTTTATGTGAGGCATCCAAACAGCCTTCTCCACAACATAATT